TAATAATATCAACAGTTATTATTTTGACGAAAGATAGACAAAACAGATAAGTATACAAAAGGAAGCCAAATATTAACAAAAGACAAAATAGTCAGCAAATGTTGACCAAATAGTAACTAATTTTGACCAAGCAATTTCTTACAAAGAAGATTAATTATGTAGATGGGAAAAGGTGGCAATTTACAAAATGTTGACTTTTAGCAAACTATATGACTTTTAACACTGATAAGTAAAAGTAGTTTGACACTAGAAGAAAATAAACAAGAAGATTTCTACTGCAATCTTAACAAATAGCTCCATTTGGTTCTTGAGATTTTCCCACCCAACTGAGTCAAGATCATTGTAAAAGTTGATATCTTCTAGCTCGTCTGGCTCGTCATTGGGAAGGTCGTCATCGACTCCAGCGACTCGATATTCGTATTGATCTTCACCATTTTTATATTCCTCAGAGTAAATATCTAGCAGTTGAGTGTAGCTTGTCTGAGGTGAGAAGGAAATCTCTCTTTGACTCTGACTCTGAATAAACACATCAGGATCAAGATAAATTTTTTGAATACTATCCTCAGTAAAGAGGGTGTATCCAGCTGAAAAATCATCTTCCATGACCTGCATGTGGGCCATTGTTCTGGCTCTCCAGTGTCTGAGTTGTTTTGTGAGGGACTGAGTAGTGGATGGCCAGGCCTGAGCGTCTCTGTAGAGAGGCGGTAAATTGCTCCTTCTTCTTAAAATAATTTTGTGCTGTGCCGGAAGCAAATGTCTACCTTTCCATTCAGGGGCCTTGCTCTGAATCAATGCCTCAATGTAGTTGGGAGGCATTCTTTCTAAGACAGCTATGGCAAGCTTTCTTCCAACAAGATCAGTATCCGCCATTTTTGTAAAAATTAATTGATAGAGAAAATCATAATCAAGGAGTAATTGTGGAGTTAACTCAATGATTTCTCCTTCATATAATTAAATTTATTATATTTTTTTAAATATTGGGCTAAAGTTTTTAAATTATTCTCAAAAAGGTTCAAATTGCCGAAGCTCTCCTAAATGTTGTTCAGAAGTTTTTCAGCAACTGGATCCAAATTGAGACCTTCTGTACAGGACCTAGCTCTAGATGTGTTGCCTCTATCGCTGGCTTTGCCTGAAGTCGAGCGTCTCATTCAAGATTTTAGAATACCACTCTATAAAGGGTTTTATCTAATTGAAGAAGCTATCCAATTTGCTCAACAGTATCTTGGAGACAGCTTTTTCATTAGCCCTCATCTTTCTCCAGATTTGCAGGAACCTTCAGGAGAAATCGTGAAGACCACCTTAGCCCCACTGGCGGGTGGAAGACAAATAAAATGGTATCAGAGCTTTTTCATTTACATATGGGTATGTGGTATAGAAAGTGGACAAATTCTAGTCTACAGATGAAACTCTTTGCCAAAGATATAGTTTTCTACATTGTCTAGTTTGCCTGATAACTTTCTAGTCTATCTGCTTTTACGTAAGTTTATCTATTTAGTGTTAAAAATCAACTTTACATTAATTTGTGTCAGTCTTACTGTTTTACTTCATATCTATTTGTTAAGATTGCAGTAGAAATCTTCTTGTTTATTTTCCTCTAATATCAGACTACTTTTACTTATTAGTGTTAAAAGTCATATAGTTTGCTAAAAGTCAACATTTTGTAAATTGCCACCTTTTCCCATCTACGTAATTAATCTTCTTTGTAAGAAATTGCTTGGTCAAAATTAGTTACTATTTGGTCAACATTTACTGACTATTTTGTCTTTTGTTAATATTTGGCTTCCTTTTGTATACTTATCTGTTTTGTCTATCTTTCGTCAAAATAATAACTGTTGATATTATTATCTGTTGATATTATTATTTTATCTTTATGAGTTTAGATTATTTAGATCTAGCTATTTCACATCCTTATAAAAAACCAAAAGCAACTTTAGATAATCATAATATAGTGTGTAGTTTTCCAGGTTTTAGTCATAATTTACATTCTGATAATAGCTAGTTAAATAGCATAGTAGATCTGGTATAGGCTTCACATGGGACACCTATTATTCTACTACAGAAGGAAGACTCAAAAGGTGTAATAGGTGTGAAGGAGAAACTGCAGATGGGATTCCACTTGATAGATATGATTGTCAATGTCAACTTGTCTATAGCATTTGCAGAGTTTCTCTAGATCTATCCTCCTATGAACCCATTCAGTTTTTTTATGAAGGGGAAATCATTGAGTTAACTCCACAGTTACTCCTTGATTATGGTTTTCTCTATCAATTAATTTTTACAAAAATACTGGATATTGATCTAATTATAAAATTTTCAGAAAATTATAAAAAACAAAAAAAAAAAGAAGAAAAAGTAGTGCTCGAAAGGTTCCAAAACTTTGAAAAGCATTATAACAAAAATATTGTGAAACTAATTGAGAATCAAGATTACTTGCAACAACAAATTGAATTTGTCAAAAACAAGGTTAATTTAATTAATTCTCAATTTCTGAGTAACAAAGGACCAGATCAATTTGTTCAAAACCTCTATCATCAAACAACTACCTTGATCCAAAATCAAGAAGAGTTGTTTAAACAGGTCCAAAAGCTTCAAAAATTAATTCTTGGGTTGAATAGGTGAAACTCCTTTCACTCAAAATTCAAACTACAGAGAAGCTTTAAAAGAAGCAGGAAAATTAGGAAATCCCTACTGTAATATCCCCAAATTTTTAGGGACTTAGTTGTGAGAGATTTTATTAATGGACTTAATAGTAAAATGCTCTGAAGTCAAGGGGCTTAAAAGAGGGAAATTTGGATAAGGTCGGCAACAATTTCCTTTTTCTTTCTTCTTTTTCTTCCTTATCCAGTCGCGTGTCCTGTTCTTCCTCTTCCCCGACCCTCTGCAGCCGACGAGCCCCAGCCATCGTCCCCCTTTTTCTGACCGGGAACACCGGCAAAAACGCGGAGAATTCTCCTTCTTTCTTGTTCTAGGGTTGGAAGTGAACCCAGAAATCCCCCTCCATTCTGCAGATTTTCGGATCTGCTCTGCTCTGCTCTGTCCTTCCGCGAGTAGCTCTTGTCGGTGGAGTGCTTCCCGGTTTTTTGGTAAGGGAACGACTAAGAATCATCCCTTTAGCCTTAATTCAAGTTGGGTTACTCTGATTGTGTTGTGGGTTCTTGAATTTTGAGGTTTGCCGTGAGTTCCTCCATTTCTCTCCCCGTCGGCTTCCTTCCCAGCCGGACCCGGTGCTGCTCGCCGGAGTTTCCTGGTATGATGGACAGCCTTTTTATGTCTAATTATCAATTAAGTATTGTCCATTTAGTTGCTTGTGTTGTCCGAGATTGTGCTAGAATTATGGGATGATTTTGGGTAGCATAAAACATGTTTTAAGCTTGGTTGAGGTAGAAATTTCTTGATTTAGTTGCTGTGTGGTTTATAGGGAGAAGATCCCGTGTGTGTGAGTTGTGGTTTGCCAAGCCATGCTCTCCATGTGTTGCCCGTGAGTAAATGGGAGAATTTGATGTGGTATTATGGGGGTTAAGTACCAGCTATTGGGAAAGGATTAAATGTGTTGTTTTAGATGAGTATTAATTTTGGGAAATGTTTTGATTAGGTACTAATTATTCTGCACTCTAGCACTTGGGATTAGTGTTCTGTTGGTGCGAGTGAGGTAAGTAAATTATGGTAAAGCCCTTCGATTTTAAAGCATGTTTTCAATTGTTTTTGAGATGGTGGCAAGGTTTAAATTGATTTTAAATTGATTTTATCAGTATTTGAGTGTGATTAAACTGAAATGGAAATAATGATGATTTTACGGGAATTTCTTTGTTTTTCTGGAATTGAGCATGATTGGAATGAAATTGTTTTTGTTGCATTGAGTTGAGCATGCCTATTTGGAATTGACTAAACTGTTTTGATGGACTGAGAGTTGTAAATGTTGAGCTTTCTATTAAATCCATGGTCACATGGAAATTTTTCGGTTTATGTCTGAGATTTGAGATTGATTGTGAATGATGAATTTTTTTGGAAATCCTGCATGGTTTTGTCTCGGATATAGTCATGATTACTATGCCCGCTAGTGGGAGGTTTATAAACGCTAGCACATGTCGACATGTATTTCTGTAGAACCGGTTCACCCTGCCAATGGGGTTAAACACTGGCACTACCTGACGCTTGCCAGTGGGAGTGTGTTAAACGCTGGCACTATCTGACGCCTGCCAGTGGGAGTGTGTTAAACACTGGCACTACCTGACGCCTGCCAGTGGGAGTGTGTTAAACACTGGCACTATTCCTGACGCCTGCCAGTGGGAGTGTGTTAAACACTGGCACTATTCCTGACGCCTGCCAGTGGGAGTTTGTTAAACACTGGCCATGACTTATAGATGAGACTACTGATGAGTTTTATTATGCATGAATGGTTTATCATTGAAAGTTCTATTACGTTTACATGGTTTATCTGGCATGCTTAAATTTTTACCAAGGGCTATCCATAGTTTACTTACTGAGATATTTTATTTCACCTTGTTTTCCTTGTCCACCATTTCAGGTAGTGATACCCGACACATAAGGAACCGGGGGAGTGACGAGCTAGACGGCTAGGCGTTATTTGGGACTTAGATCTTTTGGAGTTAAGCTGCTAGTCTCACATGGTTGATAGAAATAACCATTTTTGTGTACAAAGTTCCCTTGGTTATAGCCATAACTGTTTACAAACTTTGTATGTCTGGAATGGTAAAATTTTTGTAATGAAAAGTTAGATTTTACTTGAGTTTCAGATTTGAATTATTCGAATTGGAAACTAAGAACTCAGTCAGTTCCGAGCCTTGTGCATTTGTGGGACCCGTCTCACGAGTGCACGGCGTCTGTCGCGCCTCGAATTCGGGTTTTGGGGCGTGACACCTACGGATTAACCAATTTTCAACCCTTAGCAGTCCAAGATCAGGTATTAGTAGGACAGCAGAATACCCAAATTATTTTGCTACTACGAATCCCTGAAAACCAAGAAGAAATCTTAAGTGAAATAAGAAACATAAAAGATCTTTTAAAAGATACTCACTTCAGAACTGCAGAAATAGGTCAAGAGACTAAGAAACAAGATCTTCTTCAGGAAGCAAGTGAAATAATAGATTTACAAAGAATCATTAGCATAAAAGAAGATCTTAAACAGATAAAATCTAGTCTTTCGTCTTTACCCCACATAAAGGCTAAAGAACTAAAAGTCTCAAGAAATTACCTTGTATTACCTTAAAATCCAAAAATCATGGAATCATCTAAAATCACAAAGCAACCCTCTGATTAGGATGTTCTCCAAAGGAAAACAAATTCAAGAATCTATAAAAGTCGAAACTTTAATAGATCTTGAAGAACAAATAAAAAGATTCAAAACTCATAAATTTGACTTGGTCAAACCCAAGTATCTT